CGCGGACTCGCCCCAGCTGCATCCAGCGAGGTAGGCCGGCTTGCGACCCGTTTCTGTACCCGCGCTCCTTCAGGAGCCATCTCTAGAATCCAACTTTAAGTCTAGGGGCACCAAAAAACCCAGGGGAAACAGCCGGTTTTTGAAAAGACCAATGGTTGAACAGAATGTGGAATCAACCCCGAGAATAAGGGGGTTTGCTCAAATGGCCGGGGTCTCCTTTTGGTGCCGAATCCTTTGTCACTCCAACCTCGAAAAGCTCCGAATCCGCGTTTGGTTGTTCAGTGACCCTGGGAGAAAAAAAAGGGAACCCTTTTTGGGGAAGGCAATTTTAGTGGGGCAGCCACCCCCTCCAAAAAAAAGGGGAAAAGGGTGCCAATGAACAACTGAGTTGAGTGACCAAAACCTGAAGCAGAGGAATCGCAGGGGGGGGCTGAAGCCACCTGCGAGGTTCGCAGCCGGGGCGGCCGCTCGCAAAAAGATTATGCGTGCCAGGGCTGCTCGGGAGATGATCGGTTCTGCTTCTTCCTAGTGATCCCCTACTGTGTATGGACAAAATCCATTTCGCACCACTTTGAAACCATTGGACACCATTGTCGTTGGTATTTACAGTGGAGTGATCATTCGCAGGATTTCGTCCATCCACAGTAGGGGGGGGGCGGTATGGGCAGGGCTGTCCCTGGAAAAGCCCAGGACAAGCCAAAGATAAGCCTGCAATATCCCCGCCTAGGGGGTTCATGATACTGTGGATGGTTGCGAAACCCATCCAAGGCACCACCGTTCAGAAACCCAACGGAATGATGATACCCCTGTAAATATGAACAAGCAATGGGGTTCCATGTTTTTTCTAGTGCAGGATTTCGTCCGCCCACACAAAAAACAAGAGAATGCTCAGCTAGGCTTGATGCGGAGGTGATGTGCCACTTGAAAAGAAAGGCAGGAGCAACAATCATAAATGACAGCAAAAGCGCGACTAGTGACTAGTCCGTTTTGGGCCTGACGAGTGGCTGCCTTTCCATTAAGCATCATAACCATGGTTAGCATAAACCAGGGGATTGCACCAGGGTTAAGCTGCTCCACAGATTCAATTGTTGGGTCTGACCGAAACTCAGTCCATGAACTTACGAAGTGAGCCGCTAGAGGGACCAAAAAGGGTCGCCAGTCCTTTGAAAGGCTGGATCAATTAGTGGGAAGTGAAGAGTGCGCTTTAAGGATTTGACTATTACCCCCTGGGATTACACCCTGGGCAAACGCAACACAATCCCACACCAAATATAACCAGGTGTTATGTGGAAGTCGGCTGGAAAAGGGTGATAATCAAAGGGTGTAACCTGAGGGGGTAATAGGAAAACTCTTGGATGTGTGGGGCTGTCCGGGAAAAGTTGTTTCAAGCCCCATCTTCATTCCAGAGATGAAAACCGCGAGGGGACTTATGCTACCCGTCAAGGGACAAAGCAACCCCCTCAACAGGTCTACAAGGTGGAATCAATACTAACAGTTTAACACTATAATCATGACTTTATCTGGACTTAAAGTACCCCAGCCCCATTCTGATCATTTGCAAAACAAATGTGACGTCCCCTTCAAAAGGCGGCGCTTAAGGTCTAGGAGGGGGTCTTGAGATTGCCTAAGTCACACCAAGCTGGCTGGTTGGCTGGCTGACTGGTTCTTTGGATGATTGTCTGGCTGGCTGGTGGCTTGGTGGTAGTTGTTTGGTTGGTGGTCAGTCTTTGGCTTACATGCTGGTCGCTTGGCCTCTCGCTTGGCTGGGTTGTTGCTGGGTTGCTGGGTTGCTGGGCTGGTTGCTGTCTTGCTGTCTGGCTGGCCGACTGTCTGACTGATTTGGTTGAATTCCTACATATTGTGGATGGACGAAATCCTGCACCACTTTCAAACACAGCAAACCATTGTTTGTTGGGGAATCATCCTGTGGCTGGTTTCTGGAGAGATGGCCCAGGCTCGGCGGCGGCTCACGCGAAACAAGCAAAATGGCAGCCCAGATGCCCAGATGCATTTCCATGGGAAATCAAGAATCGGCGTCCTTTTTTGGTTGTGACTTTAAAGGGAAACCCTTACCAAAAAAAGGAAACAAGCGCCACTGGGCAACTGGGGCAGGTGTCTTGTTTCTTGTTTGATCTCGATGGAGGGAATGAGAACTGGGACGACCCCGGGAAAAAACTCATCACTGGTGGTTTCCTGATAAATGGGGACCAAAGCCTGGGTTCATTCAACCACATTCCCTATTTATCGCACCAGAAAGTTGTGGCACCATGTACCGTTGCCCCAGCCCAGACCCACATAAGGAGCTTCGGGCCATGTATTACTCTCGATATAAGGGCTCTCCCCCCGCCAAAGATCATGCCCAAAGGGGGGGCCTCAAAATCTGTTGTTTTGAGGGGCCATGAGAAATTGGTTGGGGTTCTCGAAAGGGTCCGGGGGTATTGGAGGGGTCATGACATTTTGTGCACCCCGGACCATCTTCGCCTGCATGGGACAAGCGGATTCGCCCGCTGGGTAGTCATGGGGGAGGTTGGATGGGCCGAGGACCCTTGCCCTTGGAACAGCAGACCATTGAGGAACAAGTTGGAAACCGCCCCAAATGTCATGACCCCTCCCATACAGACCCCCGGACGCTATGGAGAACCCGAACCAATTTCTCATGGCCTCAAAACAACACATTTTGAGGTCCCAAGATCAATGGGGACCCTTTAGGGAGTGATCTTTGGCAGGCTTAGCTACAAGAATCCGCCAACAGCACGCTACCAGTACTTTCGCCAGGTTGCTCAATCACTTCCCACAACTGGACATCAACACGCTCGCCTCTCGGAAGCTCGACTAAATATATAGTTCACAGCTGTAAAACCGAGAAGGAACAAGGTGAAGTTGCTTGGCTACTTTCGATCAGCCCCTACTTAGCCGGTTGCCATGCAAGATGTAAGCCTAAGGGCCAGCTCAAGTCAGGTAAGTGCTAGCTGTCCTTCCAGTCCGAGCAGCCCTGTAAGCAAACGAAGGAGGGCCAGCAGTGTCTCTTACACTGAACTGGCAGTATCTACGGCAGAAAATTGAGAGGTGCGACTCATTGCTCCTTGAAACTCCTGGAAGTCTTCCAGCCGGGACTCGTAGCACGCAAGGTTCTCTGAACAAACTCAATTCCGGAATCAGGAAGTTGATTGGCAAAGGAAGTCCATTGTCTATCATAGTAAGTTGTTGGCAGCCTGGGATAGAACCATAGAGCTAGGCCTGCTGGGTTACGACTCAGGTGGCGGGTACCCACTTACCAACTTGGCCAAACATCCAATTGGAAAACCAAACTGAGTAAAAAAGGACATCTAGGTTTTCCAGTAGAGAGGTTAGAATCAGGGTAAGGGTACCCTTTTTGCTGTTGTCTATTCTAGTAGGGGAACCCTCCCCCCAAAAAAAGGGGAGAGAAGGACACTACTGGGGGACTTAGACATCTATGTGCATACAACCAAAGAGACCCACTTCTCTACCCGATCGGAGCAACTCTGTCTGCATCTCGTTTCGTGGCTCAACGCTTCGCGCGAAAACCCATCCAATCGCTTGATCCGGGTTGACTCTTCAAGGCAAGTAGAAGTGACGCACGCAAGACATGTGGGCGGTGTCCTTTTGATGCAAATTGGGCAAACCTCAAGGCATGGGGGTCTTTGAAACAGCAAAACCTCCCCCAAAACTCCACAAACCCCCATGTTCTTGTTTGGAAGACAACCTTTGGAGGATACAGCAAAACAGGGATCCTTACATGAAAAACACCTGAACATTGCCTTGGAAATGGTGGTTTCCTTTTATGTTGGTGTTGAAAAAGCCATGTTTCAAATCGGCAAAATGTATCTGCAAAACCTCCAGGCAAACCGCTTCGATCGGAGAGCTCCCTTGAACTCCAAGGCCAGCCCATCATATGCAGATGTTGCTTCGCGCGTATTTCAATCATGCAGGAATCCCACGGACGAACGTGGCATTGTCTGCCCCAAATCCGTCTGATGGAACCCCTAGGGTTGTGGTTGGTCCCAACCCAAAACTTATCAGCTTCCTTCTTAGTGGCCTGGAGGTTGGACTGGCCTGGTTTCTGATTGACCCTCCACAAGAACCAGGGCTTCAAACCCAAGCCATAAATCCAACCGACCTGACGGCTTCTCTGAGCGGCAGGGTCTATTCCGAATGCCACGCGTTCAATGCTGATGCCAACCCGATCGGTTCATCGCTCGCTCGCGGCCTAGCGCCCCGTGCTGACCGAATCGAACGGCAGCCTCCAGGAGGCTGGTTCACATGTGCGTGACATCCCTGCCAATCCCGGGCGGCCAATTTGGACGCCATCCAGAACTGGAGCAGCACACACGCTTTGTCACTTGCAACCAATGGACAATGGACGCTCCAAGTTGTGCAATGGCTCCTCCGGAGCACCACCAAACCACCGATTCTGCTCCAAACCACCAAACACCCATGGAAGTTGACATATGCCCTCGAACAAAGAAACCGGGAGACTCATAGGAAAACAGTGGAGATTCAAAGAAAACAAAAATGGCACTCATACTGTGGATGGATGAAATCCGCTCGCACCTGTTGGATTTTACAGGGGTATCATCACTCCGGGTTTCCTAGGTGCTGCCGGATTTCGTCCATCCACAGTTAGCCTTGGGGAACCTTGACCTGAGATGCCTCGCTTCCTGGGTGGGTTGGCCAAACAACAGGGTTTCCCGCTTGTCCCTAAGTGGCAGTTTCGGTAAATTGTAGCTTTTGACTTGGAGCCAAACACCCAACAAACAAACTAAGGAACCGGATGGCTGGCAACCAAAACTTCCAGAAAAAAAACACCAGTATGTCCAGTAGTGAGGGATTCCCTTTAAAACCAACAAGGGAGAACAACCATATTCTTAACCAAATGGAAAACAGAACTCCGGAGGTGAGATGCAAGTTGATTTCCTCGGCGCCAAATGGCAACCGATTGATCCGTGCAGCCGCTCCACCCGCGGGCTCGCGGTCGAGATCTAGACCCGCGCCTGGCTTCCGGTTTCGGGTTTCGGCTTTCGATTCGAGAGGGGGGAGAACTGGAGTTGTTAACAAAGGGGGATGCATTTGCTTGGATGGTTGGCAAAGCAAATGCAAGTGGTTTATAACCTAGAAACAGTCCTCATGAGTTTGAGGGGTAAGGATATAGCCTAGTAAACTAACCACTTAAATCACTTACCTTCCATTTGCTTTTTTGCGCACTGGAAAAACTGAAAACACAGATCCAGTAGAGATAATTTCCCTTTAAAACCAACAAGAGAAATGAAACATACTCTTAACAAAATGGAAGTAATCCGTTCTCCGTAGTCGGACTCCACTTGAGCAAGAAAAGCAGCGACCATCTGGCACGATTCAGGATTCAGTCTGAACCCAGTATAGCTCAGCTTTCTATATGTGAGCTGGGTCAGACGTAGACACCCTGCAAAAGGTGAACACTGTTGCGCTGGTTGAGATAGGACAAGTGAAGGAAAACCGAAAGGGCAACAAGATAACAGCAAGCTAGGCCTGGCAATGTGCTTTCTATTCTCGACATGGCAATGTTAGCGAGTCCCCTGGTTTGTGTTCCTCAAAAGTGAGTACCAGACAACATTCTGTGCAGTGAATCACATGTCAGCCAGTGCTTCTGTCTTCTCTTCTTGCACGTGTTCAAAAACATCCACATCTACTATCCTGGTATTCTTGCTGGTGCTCAGTAGGGAATGTCGGGGTTCATTCCATTTCTCATTCCCTGCCAACCGCACCAGCAAGTAATGTGTACCCCTCAATAACCTTCCCCAGTGTCGACAAGGTCCAGAAAAATATAACTTGCTACTGTTCTGGCATTGCCCCTTGGATTTTCAAAACGCACACGTTTGGGCAGCGCAAGTTGGACGCTTGCCGGAACTATTTGCCTCGGCGACGGGGGCCCTTGCCGAAGCCTTCCGACCATACCCCCTACCCTCCCTAACATGGCACCTGGCAGGGGGACCCCCCCAAATGGTGTGCCTCTTAAACTGATGAACAAAAGCGTTTTTTTTTTTTTTAGACCCGCCGAGTGGTTTGGATAAAAAAAAAGCAACAACAAGCCGTGTTTTTGTTTTTCCCCTCCGAGTGGTTTGGATTGATGGTTTGGTGGTCAGGGCAGTCCCATTCACCCTCTACAAACCGGGGTCCCTGCAAGAGGAAAATGATCTCGCAGGTACCCTCCCACAAATGCCTTCTGTTAGCGGAAGGGTATCTAGTACGGAGAGGGTAGGTACTGCTTCTTTTCTTTGACGCAACTTTGGCGAGGAACAGCTTCATCTTGAGGGGGGCATCCAGGTTGAGCAAAGCGGGGAATCTTGGTCGTATGTGGATGGACGAAATCCATTTCGCACCACCCGGGAATCATGGTTTCCTTGTAAATACCAACCAACAATGGCTTCCTGTGGTTTCACAGTGGTGCAGTGCAGGATTTCGTCCAAAGTTTGCTGTAACAGCTCCAAGGCGCCTGGGTACATAACATGCACATTGAATACACATCTGTATGCATTCCGCCCAGAGCGCGTGCAGGATGTGAGTGTTAAAAAAAACAAAACACCAACTTTCTCAAGACAGAACTCGGGGATTAAGAATTCCAAGGATAAAAAAATGAATGTTGAAACCAGATTATCAATATGGGGGTGTGCCTTCTTGTGGGGATGTAGACCGCTTTTGGAGGCACCCTCACCCCCATATGAAACTAAACCGGTCGGTATGTAAATCGGGACCTACATGCGACCCACACGGTCCTCAGAACCCCGAGAACCCTTCCGTCGGCAAGGCTCTGAATGGCTTGTGCATGCTCCCTTCCCAGCGGACTTGTGGAATAAAACTTATTGCAGGCCCACGCCTTCGCCCGAGCATCCGTGAAAACACCTGCCCCTGGCCCTCTCTGTGATACTATTCCCTATGACGCCAAGAGCATCCCGCGGAGGCCATAGGAAAAAAGAAGAAATCATCGGCATCCTTTTTCGTTGGCTGACAAGGGAAACCCAACCAACAAAAATCAAGAAGGCCACAGGGCTTCGTTGCTACGGAGTTAGGAGCCCGTGGCCAGCCGGTTTTGACCTCAACCCGGCCTTATCACCTTGGGACTCAATGTGGACAAAGAGCTGCTGAAACTGCCTGGACGGAAGGCGGGGGTGGGAGGTGCGGCCGAGTCGGGTTTCTCAATCGGAGTGAACGAACGAACGAATCCGGGTCTCTGAGCACGTGCGCGACCTTTAGGGAGTTTGGGGGTGGCCAAATCAAAAAGCAAATAGGAGTGAATAGAATAAGGACCAGACTTTTGCTCCGCGCAAATGTTTCTCAGTAGGAGTTAATAGAATGAAGGAACCGACTTTGCAACTTTTCGAAAAGATCAGATCAGATCTCAAGGGAAATCATAAATGGGTTTTCGCAAACATGCTGGCGGCCTGCTTCTATCCTGCCGTGCCCTCAAAGCCAGGCACCCACCGGGGAAAGCGGGGGAGATGGGTGGGGATGGGGGAATTAGGAGGGGGGGAGCCGTCACCCACTACACGAGTGGATTGGCCAAACAAGCTCTAACTTGCTTTGTTCACCCCCAATCTGCAAGTGTTGAGCATTGGATCCCCAGGTAAAGAACCTTTGGTCATGGCTTCCGCTCGTTGTACCCCCAGATGAAAAACTCCGCAGAAAGATCGCCTGCAGCCCAGGACCTCCCAAGGCTGAAGCTCAGATTTGGCCGTGGGGACCCCATTTCCCTCTCCGACTCATCAGGGTTTGAGCCACAAACGTCTGAGGCCCCAACGTCACCCGGCCAAACAAAAACACACGAAGCGACCACATGTATCGCAGGCACGGGGGGATATGACCTTGAAACATCACCCTGAAGGGAAATTCGGGCCCGGGCGCGGTGGCAAGCTTCAGGCTACTCACAGGCACTTTGCATGACATGGGGCATCAGCAGCACCCCCCCAATTTTGTGGGGGACATCTATTTTCTGATGTCGCGTAAGACGGCGCACCAGCACCCCAACAACTGACTCACGCAATTCCCCATGCCCTGGGAAAAGAAGCATTTTGCATTTCTCCATGTTCAATACCCTAGGTGCTGTCTCCATTCAAATCGGAAGCAGCGTGACTTGAAGGTGCAGGTCAAGTCACCCCGCACTCATCCCTAGAACCCCCCTCTTGCCCCCAACCCCCGGGTGCGGCCTCCATACATCTATCAAAGGGGACTTCAAAAACGTCCATTTGCTTAAGCCAAACATTGACAAATTTCCAGTAGTGAAATCGATTCCCTTTCGCACCAACAAGGGAAAATAACAACCTATTCGCAAGCAAATGGAAGCGAAGGACCGGAAAAGGACCCAGGGGAAGAGTGGCCTTTTGAGCGGCGACCCCTGGAATCCAACCCAAGGACTGCGTGGCCCCCCCCCAAAAAAGAATCTGGCGAATCCAAGCGAGCGGATTCGCGGCAAGAGCGCGCCTCGAGAGGTACCGGCGCAGGTCGCAGCGCAAACGCACCAGGTCCTCCATGCGCACGTCCCGGTCCCCGCGCATGTCAAGGATCACGTTCCTCGGAACGGAAAAAAACGCTTTCCAAGCCAAACGGCATGGGCGGCAGCAACAAAAACGGACTCTTTCCAGCACACTAAAGTGACCAGAACCAAACAACACTGGAATCAAAATGCATGCCAAAAACAGTGAAGTTCAATTCCATCAAAGCTGGACAAGTCCTCTTCTTCAGCTTCGTCCCCCCGCTCGTGAAGGAACATCTGGCGCAGCTTCAAGACTGTCCTTCTAGCGACCCAGCCTGTGCACCAAACCGCGTTTGTTGGTGGAAGGGTAAATTCGCTTTGCCACGCCCCACGCGTGGGGAAAAAACCATTAATGGCTTAAACCTTGTTCTTCTTCTTCCTCTCCCCCGGGTTTTCCCTAAAGCAAAGCCAAAGGGAAAGCAACCCCCATGTTTGTGGGTCCCCCAAACAAGAAAACATACTTGAGTGAATGGCCAAGTTAGCGAGTGGTCTGTTCCCTATCCTCATGAGTGAGTTGGACCGGTAAGGTTATAACCCTAGTAACCTAACCACTTGCCTTCCATTTGCATAAGCCCCCCGGATGTTGCGTTGTAAAAAAAAAACAACCATATGCTCACCCCCACCCCACCCCCACCCCCGCCCCCCCGATATGATGGACACTTCGGGTCTATTTTGCCAAACCCTCCTTCATTTCGGGAATTATTTCGTCCGTGGCTCAAACAAGGCACCGAAATCGAACCTTAAATGGGGAACCCAAAGGCGGTGTGCCCGAGCTCCTTTTTCATCTTGAGCCCAGTTGCAGTCTCCAAGTCCTAGGTGGCCTCTTGGGAAAAATCGATGGGGTTCCCTGGCAAATGGGGCACAAAACCCGAATCTAAACCAGTGGAACCCCTCGATTGCTGGCCAAACTAACCTAAAAAGGACGCCTATGCTCTAAGTGTGCACCCCCCTCCCCCCAGTATCCTCCCTACCTTAAGGGGGAGGGGGGTGGGGGGTCCCACAATTCCATCTTTTCAGTCTTCCAACCACAAAAGGGAAAATGGGTTACCCTAAACGAAATCCCCCCTCCCCCAATTCCATTTTGAAGGTGGGGATCCCCCATTCCCTCCAGGGCCCCGGACAGCAGCTCCTCGCGTGTGACCTCCTGCTCACGGCCCGCGTCCACGTCTTGCTCGAACAAAGGCTCCGTGAGCACGATCAAGTTGTCCAGGTCCCTGGAACAAATGCGTCTGGTTCCACTTAGTTTTTGTTTTGTTTTTTCCTCCGGTTCTTGGCTTCTTTTTCCAGGGCCCTGAAAAATGACGTCCGGCTCAACTTCGGTTCTCTCAGCTCCTTTTAGTGGCTTTTTGGTGTCTTTAGATGCCTGTGGTCGGTTTAGTGGTTGGGTTCCAGTTGTCTAAATCCCTGAACAATGCCCCAGTAAAATGAGCTACCTTTAAAACCAGCAGGGGGGAATCAAACATATTCATTTCAGCAATGGAAGCTATAGAAAGAGAATGTGAACCAAGGTAGAAAAGCTGGTGATTAAACAGATGGCTTTGGAAGACACTCACCGTCTGTTGCCTCATTCTCCAAGTCATGTCTATCCCCCCCCCCCCCCAGCATTTCGGTCTTTCCGCACTAAACCAAGGGAAAAGGGCATTAACATGGTACCTGTGGGGAGGTACCTTGAAGATCATGTTTCTCTTCAAGTGCCATGTCAGTTGGACAAAGGGTACCCTCAAAAAACACGCGTACAAATTGTCCCAAACACCAGGGGAAGGTGAGGGAAAGGTGACGGCAATAGGACAATTGGGTCTTCAAGGGGTCTTCGGGCCTTACTCAAGGCACTGATCAACAGGCTAGGCTCACAGAGTAATCTCAGTTGCCTCGTGGGGACCCAGAAATAAAACGGTGATCACCTTTTGGGGTCATGACCAAAAATGGACCAACATAGGAAAACCAAATGGTCAAAAATGTCGATTCGCTGTGGATAACTGAGTAATATTTTAAGGGTAGATAGCTTGTCCAGACCCTGAGGAGAGCTAACATGGAAGCTCCTCTCATCGGGAAAGTTTCCCGGAGAACCCCAGTAGCCCAGGAGTAGCCAGCTACGTTTTATGCTAGAAGAAACTCGCCAAGCCCTAGTGGTCTTTTCTCGTCATAGGGCTAATGGCCAACTTGATTCCTGTGGATTGAAGCTCTCTTAGAGTCGCAGAGTCCAGCCCACAAAAAATGGTGCAACACTGCCCTTGTCCTGGGCCCTTTTAAGGTAGAATGCTGTTGGCTCCTGGAGGGAACGCTTGGCCCTTAAACCCCCAGACCCTCAGAGCGCAAGAGAAAACCCGCGGCGAAACGCGTGAAACGCTCTGAGCATAGAACCAAAAGACAACCACGCATCGGAAGGGGTCCTGCAGGTCTGACACAACATAATGTGTTCTTCTTGAGAACCTGGGGGGACATGGAAAACAAGAATCCCAAGCCTGTCTGTGGCCTCTTGCGAAATCAACATGGCTAAATTGCCTCGGTGCTTTTGCGAGACTCTTTCCACCTCAAAAGGGGAACCCAAAGGAAAAGTACTCATTTTTGTGGGTCCCCCCATTTTGACACAGCTTGATAACCCGAGAGCCATCAACTCCTCAGGGGGTTCTCATTTAGAGCGGGGTCGTCACTTTTTTGGGCGGAAATACCCGCCGATTGACACCCAGCGGACCCCAAAAACTGCCAGTCCCGCCCTAACCTGCTCCTCCTCCACCGGTACTGAAAAAAACTAAACCAAAAATACAAACCGCGACCCAAGAAAACCAAGAAGACGAAGAAAGACGCTCCAAGCGGCACGTCCAATTCTTTCAGGACCTCCCTGGCTCGTGGCATGTTGCGAGCCTCGGCGACGAGGACAGACGCGGACGGGCAAAATGCGCGGCCAGACTAAGACCTGCTGGGACAGTCTGGGTGAATTATAATATTTCATTAACCTGAAAGAAGGTGGTTGCGGGGATATTCCCCACATAAACCGCCATTTGGGGTGAGGTCCTGTGAGGCCGTTATAATTCACCCAAGACCCTCTGCCAAAGTTAGCTTCTGGCTGATGTCAATGAACATAAAGCCAACGTCAAAAGAACAAATGCAGTAAGTCTGGCAATTGTCTTGTCTAAAAGCAGGAGTCGTCTCCAAGACATAGGTGTTGTTTTTGCAAAAACAGATGGCCCTGGAAAATGCAATGAAATCCGTTTAAACCAGTGCCATCTATTTCTAGCCAAATTAACCTGAAAAGGACACGAACGCTCAAAAAAACAAGTGACTTGAAACCTTGGTTTCCCTTCAAAGCAGACCCCCAAAAGGGTGCCTCGGACATGCACATCCGAACACCCTCCACCCACCGAGGACACCAAGAGGAAGACCCACATGCATGTTTGGCGCCCCAACCCCGCTGTGGATGCACCGCCTAAGAAAGCCTAGAATGATTATTCCTCGTAAATGCCAAACAATAATGGTTTCTGATGGGTTCAAAGTGGTGCAGGATTTCGTCCATCCACAGTATTTCTCACTTCCGTGGCTTGGCCAAGTCGAAACGAACAAACTCAACACGATTTGTTTCCAGGAACTCAGGAAGTGAGTCACCCCAATCAGTTCTCAAAAATACGGTATGGTTTCCCAGGGTCCCTAACCAACCCAAGAGCACCCAGCCAAACTCTTTTCTCTTGGAACTTCTGCAAAAGCGGGTCCCCGCGAAAGAAAACAACTGACACCGAAACCCGAGGTTGCCGCTTGCAGAACCGAAGCCGAAACCCGAGAAACCTCGCGTTTTTTCACTCGCGGAAATCCGGGCGGCGGCGTTGAGCTCCTTCTTGGAGATCCTCGGAGCGGCGAGCGGCCCGTTGACCGCTAACGACACCCCCAACATGTCTACGGCGCCCCCCCCCAAAAAAAAAACGGACCACAGGCCCCTGCCCAAGGTTCCTCCTGAGACCTTGCTCACGGGCTTTTTCTTCTCCCCATGTTCGCAACGGAAAACCCCAAGGCACCCTTGACGTTTCACCCGGGAAATTTGAATCCGCACCCTTTGCCATCGGACACCCGTTTCCCAACATGGATTTGCATAAACCCCACCTGGGTTTCCCAGTTGGAAAGTGCGGCTGTGCACTTCGATGTTTATTGATGGACTACCTTCCGCTTGAAAAAAGGTTTGGTTCTTGTGCACTTCCGCCTGTGAGTAACTAAAACCTTTACCTGCCATTCAATGGCGGGATGCGAGGAAGCCAGAATGAGGGGCGTGGAGAGAGCGCACAACGACCTTTGGTCCAGGCCGCGACGTGGTCCAAGTGGCAAGGCACTTGATGTGAACCCAGGATTCATAAGCCCTTGATTGTGGGGATGTCCCCTGTTAGAATAAGGGAAAACCCAGAAGCAACCAACACTTTAAGAGGACCACCGCCGTTTTCGGGGGCCCAAATCCCGGCACTTCGCTCGCGAGGCTCTGCTGATTCTGATCCTCATCCAGCTCGATCAGAAGCTGACGCAGGTTCCGCTTCAGGTAATCCACCGCCACCTGTTGGCCAAACAACCGAAAAAGCATAGTGTTGACCCCACGGGTTCATCCCAGTTTACTCATATGGGGGTGTCCATGGTTTTGCTGGGGAATCAGACCATTTTTGGAGAAGCAAAACCACCCCCATGTTAATAAACTGGGGCTGATTAATCCGAGGTCAAAATTCAAAGCATACCCTCCTTCCAATCATAAATGACAGGAGGGTGGGCCCCTGTTCACTTCCATGATTCCATCCATGGATTCAAGTAATGTTGACCCCGGATCCAGCTAGAACCCCTAGATACTTTTTTCGGGGGTGTCCTCCTCTGGGGGTTTACTTTTAGATGAAAGGGCAACCTGTACCAAGAGATCCCGGTTCCTTCACTTTGGCATCCAACTCTGATCAATGGAAAGGCGGGGCTGCGGGGTGTTTCCACGTGCTCTTTCTTGTGGTTCCCTCTTCTCCGTGTCATTATCCTGGATCTTCCAGATCATGGAAGGTTGAGGTAAAATCCGGAGACTGCCAGTTGTTTTAAGGGTCTGAGTGGAAATATGTGGAAATACTCTGGGAGAACAGAAAACAGAGAATTAAAATAACCTGGAGATGGAGGACTCGGGATACTTATTAGTCTTCCCGTTGTTGCCGGTTTTCTTCTTGTCTTTGTTCTCGTTGTTCGTCTTGGTCTCCTTCGCCGTCTAATTATTGTTAATATTGTTCTCCTCCTCCTTCTTGTTCTGCTCTGCTTCTTCTTCTTCTTCTTCTTGCTGCTGCTGATGACCTCCACATTTTGACCCCTGTTCTGCGGAGACCCCCTCGTCCACCCCCGGCAGTTTCCGATGCTGAGTCACATTCTTCTCGTCCTTCAGCTTCACCTCCGAGACGACCTCGCAGACCTGAGGCGAGAAGGAATGCCAAGAGTCGCGACCCTTGCCAGATGCGAAGGCCCCGGACCGTACCCGGTACCCCAAAGAATAAACTTGACGCTCATTTCTCTGACGTTTTGCTCATTCTTAAGGGGAACGTTGCAGGGGTCTGGTGATATAACCGTTGAAACGTCACCTGGTATTCACAAAGCCTACCCAAAACCACGCGAAGAATCAAAAGGGCGGCCGCCCCTATTTATCCTATTGCCCGGGTTTTGGTGCGGCTCAGCTTTCACAAACAAAAGACACCATACATTGGCAGTTGGCGACTTTCAAAAGAAGAAGCCAAAAGGGGCACGAGACTTGCTTTCAAGATGTTGCTTGAAACTTCCAGCCATCCAGGAATCCCCCCTAGCCCAGCCATCTTCCCGTTGGAGAAGCGCTGAGAAACCCTTTGTAATTGTTGGTTCCTGCCCACTTCTGGCAAACGGTCAGAGTGTCGTGATTCAAAACTCGGATTTGTTGGAACTGCCGGTCAAAGGGAAACAACAACGAACCCATAGAAAGGCCCTTCGGGAATCTCCTGTTTGACCCACCCGAAGTGTTCAGAGTACTTGCTGTGACACGACTGAAGAGAGGAACCCAAAGAACACCAGCCGGAGAGGAAACTTAGAAGAAACCTAGCAATTTGGAGGCCCCCCACTTGGACCACCCCGCTATATGGGCGTGCCTGTTTTCGACGGCATCATTTCTTGGGCCTTGTCAAGAAGGACACCGCAAGGAAACACATCCATTTTGCGGGCTCCGTCTGAGACACAAAACCCACATGTTTCAAAGCGGCAATGCCGATGAGCATGTTCATCACGGTGATGTTGGTAAGCAGGACGTACAGGAAGAACACGAAAATCATCGACCACCCCAGTGTCCATTCGTAGCCTGCGTGGCGCACGAGTAGCGCCTTTTCACATCTCCACCCTTTGGGGGAACGGAAATGAACTTGGATGACACACACACACACATTCCCCTCTTTGCAAGTCCCCGAGGTTGCATCTATATATATATATATATGTGTATGTGTGTGTATTTATTTATTTGTACGTGTGTAAGGTATATCCCACGTAGGAGGGATTATTGACAGGGGATATTCACTACTGACCAAGTGGAATGCTCGGCCATGGAGGGACCCCCTACTTGAAGAGGTGTTCTGAACTTGAGGCTACACCGAAGTCCGCCTAGTTGCCATGGGTGAAACAAAAGTTTGCCCTTTGGCCGCTGGTGCTCAGCACGGAATGAGAAATGGAATGAGCCCTATAAACAATCCAACTGGTGCAAAGTTATGGGCTATTGTCATGTGTCCACATCATAGGGGGGGGGGGGCGGTGTTCCTGTGGCTTTCCCTGTAGACCAAAACACACCCCTATCAGTCATAATCACTGCCGGGTATAAAAGTGGCTCCACCCAAGATCATGACTGACAAGGGCGGATATCGGCACTTATTTATGGTTGGGTCTATCCAGTACTAACCTGCTACTCGGGAGTTGATTCCGGCTCATTTCATTCGTTGAAAGGGTGATAAGTGACACAGCCCACCTGGGCGGTGAATGCTGCCATTGTGACTAACCGATGATACCATTCGCAGGGATTTGCCCCACCCACCCCCCGCAAGCAGTTCCCTGATTGTTTGCAAGTTCAAAGGAAAAGCGAAGCAAACTAACCGCAAAAGGGACAAACAACAGCAAGAGGTGAATTCAGTTTGGCAGCATATGGGCAGCCAAACACCACACCACCGCCGCAGCTTTAAACCCTCCCCACCCCAACCGAGCCCTAACTCAGACGGGCATCGTTTTTCGCTTGGCTGAGTTTCAAGGGGCCCCCTTCCCAAAAACCAGGTTGGAAAACAACCACCGTCCCCGGCACGCAAAAAACCAAAAAAACAAAAAAAACTGGGCGGATGGATGCCCAGTTCATCAGCTGAGATTTTCACGGCCCGCGCTTCCCGCTTTCCCTCTTTCCCTCCGCGCCTACCGTCTCCAGCGCCCGCATGTTCTCCAAGATCTCCGCGATGGAGTCCGCGAAGGTGCCGTGTAAGGCCAGGCTCCACATGGAGAGGCCCAGAGTCTTGAACTTTGCTTCGATGTTCCTCGGATCGTAGGTGTCCTTTTGGAAAAATAGATGGGGTTCCCTGCTAAATGGGGCATAAAACCCATCTAAACAGCGCCTTCCATTTTTGACCACACTATAACCTAAAAAAGACACCTATGCCTCGGAGGTGCCAAGGCGGAGCTACGCAGTCGCCGGACCCGCAACGAGAACCCTACGAAAGTCTCTTTCGGCTTTTGGTGGGGACCGTTTAAGGGGGGTTCCCTGCCTCCAGAGAGAACCGTACGCATCTCTCTCTCTCTCTCTTGTTTCTTTTGGTGGGACCGTCAGAAAATTCCCTGGCCTCCAGTTGTGTTTTTGTTTTTTTGCGTCCCCTGGAAAACATACAAATGATATAGTTCTAGTGGTGACTTCGAGTTACTTTAAAACCGACATGGGCAAATAACACGTATTCTGCAATTGGAAGAGGTTCGCCAGGCCACGAGCTTCGGGGGCTTATGAGAGAGATTCCCGGGGCTACACGTGGCCGCTAGTGGCTGGATCTTCCTCTCGGCTAGCCTCCGAGATGGGCTTCCTTTTCTTGCTGATCAGCAGGGAATGAGAAATGGAATGAACCCTATAAGCCATCCCTTGTGGTGTTTCCTTCAAGCGAAGAGCGAACCCCCAGGTTCCTGCCCTCATTCTCTGCTAGCACCCGCAAGTTGTTGGTTTTCCATCGAAAAGAAGAATTCCGGATATTTTTAAAGAAACTACGCCCGAGTACGGATGAGTATCTTATCCCTTCCCCCGGGGAATGCAAAGTGTTTCCCTGGGGCTGCGTTTCTTCTTGAGCGGCTTTTTTTTATAATTCTCTTTTTTTTTTTGGGGGGGGGGGCAGAAAGCTTACCCCCAAGATCATGGAACCTAGAATGCCCGTTGAAAGGAACCATTGTCTTCCAGGAAAAACAATCAGGAAAAACAAAACAAGCTATACCTTCGTCTTAAGCAAGCGAAATAACTACCCTCCGGAAAGTCAACATGGAGCCCCGCGATAAGCCTGTTCGGGGTTTGGGCCCGCAGGGTACAAGTGCATGGTTGGGATGCACATTCGCAGAGGTGTGTGTGTGTGTGTATGTGAGATGGGGAGCCTTCATCATTTCCGGGTTCGGTCTTTGCCAATGGGTGGTCCTACCTGCCTCAACTGGTCCCAGGTTCAAGTGCATGAACCTAGTATGGGGATCATGGAATCCTGTATGCCACCACTCTAACCTTCCCAGGCAGTACGCCCGATTTGTTTGCACGTAGCACACAACCTCCATACCGCCAAACCTCATACATGAAAATGCCCTTGACAGATTCAGGGCAGGGAGAAGAACAACTTCCATTTGGTTAAGACCCCTGGAAACAAGGGAAAATAAAACATATTCTTAAGCAAATGGAAGACAACTGTGTTAAGAGTAGGCGACTACTGGCAACACCTTGGAAAAGCACCCGGAGGCAGGCAGAAAAGCGCCGCGCATGCCTTCGAGCATCTCATCTGCCACCTCCGACAAGAACATGTTGATGACGATGGCAAAGACGTAGTTCAGGCCGATCACAAGCCTTGTGTGACAAGTTGAGCGACAACTAATACATTAACCATCATATAAAATTTAGAAAGATGAGCATTATGTACACTAACTTGAAGCTGGTCCCGAACATTTTCCAGGACATCTTTAATGATCACAAAGGTCTGAAGATTCACAACGCCCTCGCAATAAAACCGCCTTTCAATGGTCTTGGGATGGGAGGTCGCTCAGTGGGCAATGCAGGCTCTGTTGACACGCTGCGGAATATTTTCCTCCATCCTCTATTGCGTTTAACCCGTCCCCTGAACACAAAAACAGAGTATATGTCCAGTAGCGATATCAATTCCCTTTGAACCCAGGTGACAATAACAAACAGATTCAACGCGGCTGGAAGCAACCACCATGTCAAGCAGACCTCCGATCGGTAGCTTTCTCCGCAAGGCGAAGGCTACCGCGATAGAGCCAGCTCCGAGTCCGCTCCACCACCAGCAATCCGGGAGTCCCTATGAGCCGCTGGCTTATGGGATAAAATTGACCGATAGCTCTGGCTTCAGGGCAAATCCGCCCAATCCAACATGGGATTCCCCACGGTTTTCGAAGTTCAGATATGGACTCACACACTCAGCCTTCGAACCAACAAACCCCAGAAACCAAACCCTCCACAACCAATGCTCTACTCTCCCACCGGCCAACTGACAGGGGAAGCCAACATAAGGGGGTCCTTCAACTCAGGGGACTTCTCTCAAAGCCACCCATGTTTCCATGCTTCCCTGTTGAAAGGAAGCTCACTTCAAATTGGCAACCACAAGATAATGATTGAACACCACCACATACGCGAACAATACATGTGCATGTGTATATACACATACATATATATATATATATTTATTTATTTTGCGTGCGCTCTCTCCAGCTTTGCAGCCAAGGGTTAGATACATGCATTTTCGGAATCCGCCCCCAACATGACGCCCCATCTCACATCATGCGAGGCGCATTAGGGCGGAGGTCACTGCACGGGAGGCCGCCCTCATGCCGTTCACCAGCGTGAGCAGCTCCTGGTCCAATCCAACGGGTGGCGGGATAGCAATGGGATCTCCCAGTTGGATTGGTCCGAGATTCTCCTCTCGGCCTCCAGCAGAGAGGTACCAACTTTTTCTGTAGTCTATTTTAGTAGGGGGACCCAAAACCACGAAAAAGGGTCAAAGGGCACTACTGGGAGACCTAGTCCTAGTTTCTCCACACAATGGCTCTTAGAACCTTCTTAGAAGAAAAGTTGATAGAAAGGTTCTGAGAAACATTCTGGTGTGTAGGTTGGCCCTGATGGTTTGCCCTAACAATTGCGCACGCACGGAACTCGACCGGGTGAATGGAGCGAGCCCGCTCCGCGGCCAGACAAGACCTTAGCCACCAACTTGTCACCTGAAATAGGGCTCCCTACATTTACAAAACATCACCCCCAACCAAGAGGCACCCCATTTTTTCATGGTTGCCAAAAAGGCGACGCAATCCCAACCCACCCGAAAAGAGGGACATCTCGGAATCGACCCGTGAAAAGTGAAGGAAATGCAATATGGACTGCAACTTGTTGGGCGTTCAAACTCAGATGCTCAGTGGAAATCCCATGGGAACAAGGGCATCTGTTTTTTTTTGGTTGGGTTTCAAGAGGAACCCATCCCAAAGAAGAAGGATCAAAAAGGGCTCTACAACTTAATGTTCAATAGGCCCCACAAAAGGCTGAGGGCTGGTCGTCCGATGCAGACTTGTCGTCTCATGAGGACAGGTACAAACCGGAAGAGTTTCCTGTATCTCGCACTTTGACCTCGCTTTGCTGGAGCACCTGGAACAATAACATAAAACGCATTCTGAAGCGCATGGAAGTTGAGGAACCTCACGTCCAATTCTTGAATGTTGAATTGCTAAACCCGTCCTTTTCTTTGGGGAGTCCCTCCAAAAGGACAGCCACCAATCTGGGTTCCGGTCCGTTCCTAGACGAGGCGCACATGAAGGTGGGGGAAAATCTTGGGAGCCCCACAGCCCGATTCCATGCCCAGGAAAGCCGAGAGAAGGTCCGGGGGGGAATGACGTCAAACGCTGGTACAAGGGGAACAGTGAAGAAACCGCATTCCAGGCAAGAGGGCAAACAGATGCAAAACGGTAAGATATGTGCGAAGGCAATCCCCCAAGCCACCCAAGGCACATGGTCTCAAAGAGGCGTCCACAAAAACTATGTTTAGGAAAAGCAAAGGACGCCTGGCCATTTAGAGTCCCCTGTCATGTTAAGGGGGTTCCCTTGGTATCAAAAAGACTGGCCCTAAAACCATATGTCCCTCAACTGGAATTATGATTCCCCTGCAAATGCCAACGAACGTTATGGCTTCAACCATTCTTTCAATAGGTGCGAGAAGCGGGTTTCGATTTCAACCGCCCACAGCTTGGAATGACTTGCTCAATCCGAATACGCGCAATTGTCTGGTATCAGGTACACGTAGGCACCCCACTCCGCTTCCCTAGCTTCTGGAATGGGCATTGGGGGAAACAGAAAACCCAGAGCATGAAAAGGGCTTACAAGTGGCGCAAACAAGCGGCCACCAGAAACTTACTGACAGGTTTTGGTGATGAGGAGCGCCCCACCATGGGCTAAGGTCCAGGCATGTTCATGCATTTCATCAATCGACGGAACATAAAATTGAAGAGTCCCAAATTGCGCTTTGGTTCACTTCTTGAATTGCAGTGAATTCCCACGCAGGCCAACACACTGGGCTGTTCAATTGGAGGGCTGAGGGTTGGCCATTCTGATTCATAGGCAATGACTGGAAAGTGTTCTCCTCAACATACCTCGCTTCCTGAGTGGACTGGCCAAAACCAGGTCCAAACTTTATGTTTGCCAGAAAAACAGTCCAAACCAAAAAAAACTTGAAGTCCATGAACAAACCGTAAAACGCGAGTGAGTAACCCAAAACCACGAAGGATTACCTTTGCACAACCCAAACACTTGGTTGCTGTTGATCCCTCTGCAAAAAGTTAAACTGTTTGCTGCTTTAGTGGAGAACCCTTCATTTCCCAAACAGTTAAAGTCTAAAGATCCAACCCAAGAGCAGCCAAGAACACACCCGCGGACTCGTAACACCCCCGTTCGGATTTCCGTCGTTTTTTTTGCCCCGTCCGGCAGGGAGCGCAGGAGACGCACCAGGCGGCTGAGCCTGCGGGAGGCGGCTTCTTACCAAGGGAAATGTGAGTTTAGGATAGGCAGCATGATAGAATAAACTGGGCTGCTCGTTTTCTGATCCGGGCTAAAAGTGACTAACTTTTAGTGGGTTAAATGGAAACTAACACTAAAAAGCTAAAAGGCTAAGAGGATGGCTAGGACCCTGGGACCCTGGGAAAGTACGGGAAGTATGGGAAATATGGGAAATAAATACAGTACGTATACCATTCGTTTGCAATCGCGTGGTTAGCCCTTTGTTCCCCATGACCTCTTGCATAGTTTGGCGGATTGGTCAAGCAAAAAAAAAAACTCGGGTGGGCGGATTGGCCAGGTTAGTCTCACTTGCTCAAAGGACCTGGAAGTAAAAGGTTAACCTTTTGGGACCATTACCAAAAATGGACCAAATCAGGGAAACCAAAAGGTCAAAAGGTCGGCTTTGGGCAACTGAGTAGTAAATCCTGACCATTTTGTGCCAGTCAAAGAATTCCGTGTGATGGTCAAGGTCATGGCCATGCGGCGAGCTGGGCTCTCCTTGAAAGGTAAGAACCCCAAATCACCTCTTCTCTACTCTTGGTAGCGAAAAGCTGACTGTTTTTTGCAGACCCCCAGCTGAAAATGAACAGAACCAAACAACTAAAAAAAAAAAAACCATGCCAAGAACAGTGAAGGCCCAGGGCTTGGGAGCCTATTGAAAGCAGCTCCCTTTCGACTGGCATGGTTGAGTCTTTTTTTCGGCTGCCCAAACAACAAGGGAGAAACGTTCATGGTGAATCCATGAAACAGGCAAATCAAGACGTTTGTCTCAGTTGCCCCTTAGGGACCCAAAGATACAAGAAAAAACCTTTTGGGGCCATGACTAAAGATTGACCGACAAGGGGAACCAACAGTGAACAGGTCAAAGGGTCGGCTTTGGGCAATTGAGCCAAAACGGGCAAATCAAGACCTCCTTTTTTACTAGGTGCCGCTGATCATCGGACAAAGCGCTCAATCTGACATCAGGCCGCAGTTGTTTTTCTCTCAGGGCCGCGTCGCTGCGCTCATCCGAAGGGCAAAATGGAACGGGCACTTGGTGCGCACATCTGGACGCGTCTGTTAGAGCCGGTGCCCTTGGCGGTTGCGAGGGAAAGCAAAAGGTCAGTCCATTTTGAGAGGAACCTGTCCTGCAAAACGCCCATGACAGAATGTAAATCAACACCAGGACCGCCATTGAAATTACTCGTCGCTGAAAAATGTGGCCACCCCAACCGGACGCAACAAGCTCAAAAGGTCGGTCTTTCTTGCCCAAGTTGCACCTTGGACATCTCAAAGTGGGATCCATTCTGAGCATTCTTCTCACTGTTTGGGTTCCATTTCGCCTCTCTAAAAACGAGAGAGTTAAGTCCCGGAACTCTCCCGGAGTAAAAAATGAAGAAAGCGCCACTAACAACAAACAAGACAAGAGGTTACTTCGCAGGACAGGCTTCGAGGCCCCTGAAATTCACGAAGGGCCCAGGCGCGTCATGGTATAGAACAACGCCGCCAAGGTTGCGGGAAATCGGCAGTGTCCCTTCTTGCGAGATCGTTGATTCTAACCATCACTCTATCAGGAAAGTTCTGCCGGCCCTCCGCCAGAAATCGAAATTCCGAAAGCCCCACTTACCCGCAACCTATTGGTCCCGCCTCGTCTGAGCCCTGCATGATCCTGAGGTCGCCTTTGGGTGAAGACCTCTGCTTCAGGGGGAAACCAAAGGATCTAGGGAACCTTCCAATCGCAGGGGCTCTGATCATATCTTCAGAACCTTTGGGGCGACTAAGCGGGTGGAAATAAGCTCCCTTGATCTCCATTGGAGCCTCGCTTTTCCCGCGCGGAATTGCTGGCAGGCACCAGTTGCAACAACTCCTCAGACGCACTGGCGATCCCGAGCAAACAAACCCCTCGCACGGGCGCAACGACATCTTCCCAAGCCCCGGAATCAACAACAAAAGCCTCAACGAGAAGAGCAACACAATGACGCAATGATTTGTTCAAGCGAAACGGAGGTCACAAGGATGAGACACTGCCGTAGCAAGTCCCAGAAACATCATACTGGAATGCGCTTTCCCTTGTGCCTCAAAAATCAATGCGCCGTTGCAACCCGCTTTCTTCTGGCGAGATAACGGGTCTTTGATTTGGCACGGGCTCGAAAAAACAGCGAGGGAAGGTTGGTCAGTCCGATCCGATCCATTCGCCCGACATCAGCACTTTAAAACAAGCTTGGGACCGATTTCGCTTTTGAAGCAACTGGGCGCGGTAGGTGTGCATGTGAGCGTGCGTGTGCGTGTGCGCGGGCCCACAGGGCGCGGGCGAGCGAGAGCCCTCACGCACACACCTGCACATATATATATAGTTTATAGATGTATTCATCGATTTATATATACACATAATGTATATGTATATATGTATACATGTGCGTGTGTGTGTGTGTGTGACCCGTGGGTCCTCTTGGTGAAGCTTCACGTTTTTGGAGAAACATTCACAACTTTTCCACCAGGTTGATTCGTCGTCAAGCGACCTGGAACCCCAACTGACCGCTACTCCCATCTGAGCTGAACTCAGAAAGGGCAGGTGATGCTGATCTCTGCCGCTTCGATTCTTCCGCTCAGGGAAGACAAAGCCGCGCTTGCTTTCTTCCATTTGCTTAAGCCCCCTGGAAAAAAAAAGGTATTTCCAGTAGTGATCGATTGCTTTTAAAACCAACCGGGGACAACAACAAAGATTCATTTCAGCAAATGGAAGCGTTGTGTGTGTCGGTGTGTCCGGGCAAGCGCCGGAAACCACCCAAGGGCGAGAACTGCGGATCCGCAGGGCACACATTCCGTGAATTCCCTAAACCCAACCTGTGAGAATTTTGGGCGCCGAATTGTTTACAGGGATATGCCTTTCTTTGGGGAGCCCCCGACTTGAGTTGGAAAGGGAGTTGACAACTCAGCTGCCCAAGGGACCTGAAAATAGGAAAGGTTACCTGTTGGGACCTTGACTAGGTCCTCCAGTAGGGAGGTTAGAATAAGGGTGCCAACTTATTCTGTAGCCTGTTTTAGAAGAGGAACCCTCCCCCAAACAGGAGGAAAAGGGCACTACTAGGGGCACCTAGGCTGATATGGCCTTGCAACTCCCTTTCGCTGAGTAAACAAGAAACGGAATTGAACTAACATGGAACACGGCAACTAAAGGATCACTTGCCAAGCCCTTTTTCTTTACCCTTCAAAATTCGTGTCCCCAAACAGAACGAGTAAAGTCCAGTTTCTCAAAAAAAAAAAAACACGGATCGGTTACTGCGTCCTGCACTCGCGGATCGTCTTCGCTTTCCTCTGCGCTAAAAAAAAATCCCCACCACCATAATCGGGAGGGGGGGTGGGGGGGTCCCCCTATCTAATCTTCCTCATAAAAGGGGAATGGAACCAAAGATGGAGATCTCCAGTGGTCAGCACCCCCCCACTTCCATCTTCACTCCCCCCCTCCCCTCTCCCCAATTCCAGACCTCCAAACTCCTCACTTCAGCGCCCGGTAGCCCGCGGCCCAAGTGGCCGGCGAGCCGACTAAGCCGAGCGCCTTGCGCCGGAGCAGCAGCTCCTCGGTCCCGCTCGCTTGGGATGCGGGTTGTCGATTTTAACAGGAGAACCCAAAACCAACCAACAAAAAGGGAGAAAGGGCAGCACCTAGGGATGCGGGTGCTCCGTTGACTGATGAACTTGCGATCGCTTCGATCAGGGAATGAGACATGGAATGACCCGAAAAAGAAAAAGAACAATTACCAAATGCTAGAATGCCCCCTACGGATCCTATTGTCAAAATGGCAGGCCATTTTGACTCATATTTGTTAGTTTATAAAATGCACCGCTACGCTCTTCCATTAGAAACAAAAAGGCATGACAGGCGTTGTTTTTTTGTTTTAATCTTCTTTTTTTTCCTAGGGGCTCCCCTCTTGATTTCCGTCTCTGGAAACTAACAAGCTAGTAATTGTGTTCCCAGGTATTACTCAGAAAAGGTCCCTTTTTAGTGGGGCCCTTCCAGCAAGTTCGTTCGGGTTTATTCATCAGGGATCAACATTGTGTGTGAAAAAATGGACTTGGACCAACAGTTTTCAGGGGATATGATAAATGCCCACAAACCATGGGAATTTGGAGGGTGCCCGTTGTTACCTACTTGCAATATTTAGGGCATCCACCGAAGAAGATGTGGAACAACAAACGCGTGAAATGAGGATATGCGTGCGTGTATGACACCAAAATACTGGTTTCCCTTTTCATTGTTTCTTACTTGCGGCCGATGGCTGGGCGTTTCGCACAATAGATAGGGATCGGTCCCCCCAAAAAATATGGGGTGTTCGAAATGGAGCATTGGCCAATCCTGATCCACAATCCATATTAAGAAATCCCTCTGGGGACCACTTTCGCAGGCAAGGATCAGCAAACAAATAGTTGGTGGCCTTTTGGCTTCCGATCAACCGACCCACTTCAAAAAACTTGAACCTTTGCAGCTTTTTGCCGGGTTCTCGATGTGTTGAGGCTGCCCTTTTCACCTTGGAACAAAAGGCAAACCACAAGGAAAACAAGACAAACCATTGTGGGGGCCTTTCTATCGTGACACATACTTGACACATACCCAGCGGCAACCAGGGACCCAAAATGGAGAAAAAGAAGTGGAACCCCTTTTTGTTGCTGGTGCCTGACCCTAGTGAGGATCCACCAGACAAAATTGGAAAAGGTGCCGCTGAACAGCTGGACTTGCAGCCCAAAGAATCAACAAGCACGTCAAGACAGGACCTGCCGTCTTCTTAGGCTTGATTGAATTACCCCATCAGATACAAAGTGTTTGTTCCGCGAGTTGCTCACGCAAGTTGCGTAGAGGTCAGAACAAGCTGGCAAGAGGCTTATTGACGTTGGCTATCGGGGATGAAGCTCTGTTTCTGGCAGGAAAACCTCCATCTGCCTGTTTGTCCCCAGGAACAAACGAGAACATATGTTCAGTATTGAAACCGAATCCCGTTAAGACCGACAAGCTTCGATTTGCTTGAGCCACCTGGAAAAATAAAAATATGTCCAGTAGTGACAAGTTCTCTTTAAGACCCACAGGGAAAAACAAAGCATATTCTTAAACAAATGGAAGAAAAGGAACATTAGACAACAGGTCCTGAAGCAGCTAACTGGAAGCACACAAGTAACCACCGGGCTCCTTGCACGCGCTTTTAAATGCGGGGGAGAGAGGCCACCTCCCGGCGAACTTTTTGTTTGCTTCTCGGCGCAAGCCAGCACAAAACGGCCTATGTTTTGATGTGTCATATTTTTCTCGGAGACTGCCTTGAAGGTCGGCTGTGGACAACCGAGTTTTCTTCTTCCCTCGCGGCCCCCACTTCCCCTACCGCCCCTAAGGTGGTCCATCTGCCACTTGCCACTTGTTATGGGACAAGTTTGGCATATGCTTCCATTTGGTTGAGCCCCCGGACAAAAATTAAAGTATTTCCAGTAGTGATAAATTCCGTTTAAAACCAACAAGATAAGTTAAAACATATCTTAAGCAAATGGAAGCATACCTTCAAGAGGAAGCCCTAGCAGTTTACTGAGCCTGTTTAGATGGTGCAAAATATAGCCAAGTGATTTGCTTTGCCCCCCAGCGATCATTTGGGGCAAAATCCAGAACCTTTGCCAGGGTTGCGCCGAACCGCCAGTGACCCTCAATTTGCAGTCCGGCGTGTTGATTGTTTGATGCCAAAACACATTGACTGTTTGTTGGAGCAACATGCTTGCAGCAACCCTTTGTTGAACCAGGCCTCACTCAAACCCTTTGAACCGGGCAAATGGCCAGTCAGAATTTTGGGGTGACGCCCAGTTTACTGGGATATGGCCCTTTGGGAAGCCCCCCGACAGAAGGTTGCGTGGGAGTTGACCACTCTGCCCAAGGGACCTGAAAATAGGCAAGGTTCACCTGCTGGGACCTTGACGGCGATCATTTTTTTGGCAAGGAGCCACTCACAAAGTGGTTGGTGGACGTGAAACGGAACCTAAATGGTGTCGACATGTCCACCATGGCAACTGAGAAACGGAACCCATCAAGGTCCTAAAAGGTTAAACCTGTCCAACTAGCTCCTCCAGTAGAGAGGTTAGAATAAGGGTACCCTTTTTTTCTGTAGTCTATTTAGTAGGGGAACCCTCCCCCGAAAAGTTGGTCAAAGGGCACCTAGCTGGGGGACCTAGTCAATGTTGCATAGCCATTGAGAGGCTCAGTTGCTCAAGGCCAACCTCTTGCGCTTCCGGCTCTCCAGCTCAAAAGTCCGTCCTCCGTCATCTTCTTGCCCGAGCTGGGATTTTACCGGCTTCTCCGTGAAAAAATGCGCCGGCGCGTTTTCTGATCCCCTCTACCTTTCTGCCAGAAAAGAGGGGAGGGGGTGGGGAGGTCCCCAATTCCATTTGTTTGGTCTTAGTAAAGGGGACCTGGAACAGTGGACTTCCAGATCTCCATGATATCCTGGATATCATGGATATCTGTAGATACACGTATATCTCTGAGAGTTGTATCTATTACTCTAGGGGTTGATTCTTTGCCCATTCTTTTCAACCATCGTTCTTTTCAATAACCGGATCCGTTTTCAACCAGGGGTTTTGGGTGGTTTGCTAAAAAGATCCGGATCCTTGGGTTCAGAATGGGGAAGCAACCCTTAGAATTACGAGAACACCACTCCTCCCCCAATTCCATGTTTCAGGGCGTGTGCCAAACAGCCGGGGCTCTGCGAGGACGAGGCCGATGGCAGGGCTGGCGTAGGTGGGGATCAGGAAGGCGCAGTTCCGGCACTCCTGGCTCCGCGTGCCAAACGAGTTTGAAGATGGCAAAGCTGTGGATCCACCCCCGTGGGAGGTCAAAAGAGTACTAAACTTAGAATACTTAAAAAGAGCCCAAAGGGGGGAAGAACAGGCGAATTCTGTTCAAAACGGGCATCGATTGACTAAAAATTACTTAAAAAGAGCCCACAGGCGGAAGAACAAATGAAATCCACACAAACCGCGGCATCCAAATGGTTTTCGGTAAACTGGCGGCACCGCCTCAACAACTTGGAAGATGGAACAGTCACGGGGAAGACATGCACATTGCCTGCCCTGCATCCTTGGCAAATATCGCGCGCTTTGATCCAATCCCCCCCCCAAAAAAGACGACGGGTTTTGTGGGGCTGAGTTCAGCTTCCAACACGAATCAGGAGACCTGGCGAATTCCTTCCTTTTGTGTTTTGCTTAGCGTCCAGGGGCTTAAGCAATGAGATGGGCAGATTGTCTGTAGGTGCGAGCCAGGCGAGCCCCCCGCTTCGAGCCGCACCGCCTTTTTTTTTGCGGTTACGGGCTCAAGGGAACCCATGCAAGCAACCCCCCAAAAACCCACCAGATGCGACTCTGAAGGTGAGCTCTGGCGAGCTCTGTCCAGAGTCACCAAAAACGGGAAAAGCAACAACTAGGTGCTCCAGTAGAGAGGATAGAATAAGTTAGTACCGTCTTTTGTCTCTTTTGTCTATTTTAGTAGGGGAACCATGCCCCAAAAAAAAGGCGAGAAAAGGGCACCTAGCTGGGGGACCACTGGACAAAGATGCTGGATGCTGGTCTCCAAAAATTGTTTCGCACGGAAGGGAGATATGATGCGAAGCCACTTTTGAAGTAAGTCTCCGCGACGCCATTTTTGGGGGGTCCCTATTTTCTGGCTGGTTCAAGATGCCCAGTGGCCATGCGTGAAAAAAGGGCATCCTGCTTTGGGCTGGCTGGAGTTCTCAGAAGGGAATGAGGGAATTGCCCCCGAGCGAAAACGCCCAACTGTCGTTTTTCACTCCGGAGAAAATCCGGGAAGAACCAGCAATCATTTCAAGACACGCACCTGCCGTGAAAGAAACTGTCTGACTACGTTCCACATTTAGCCTACACTAGGTCCTCCAATAGAGAGGTCAAAATAAGGGTACCCTTTTTTCTGTAGCCTATTTTAGTAGGGGAACCCTCCACCAAAAAAGTTGGTCAAAGGGCACAACTGGGGGACCTAGTACAGTTATATTATCTTAAAATAATAAACCAAAAACAAAAAAAAAGGAAAAACAACCCCGTGAGCGACGCAACTAAATCCCGCGGTCGCCTCAAAGACGGGCGTCAGCACAAAGAGCAGCAGGCGGAAAATGAGGAAGTTGCTCCACATGAGAACGTAGAACCTGTGCATAGGCACTCCGGCCACTCGTCAATCCTTCTGAAAAATAATCAAGGGACCCCACGCCTGGAACAAAAACGAGCCCTCCAGCGAAGTGTTACAAAGCATCTCCCCGTCTTCAGTGGACTGGGCCGATGCGCCTTGATCAAAACACAAGAAATCGACCGGTCATCCCCCGCCTGGTCATCCACTCCTCGTGAGCTTTCATGTTCCTCACTCTGGCTTAGCAGCCCTGGAATTCGGAATCGACAGCCACGCCGCTGAAAAGGACCGACACATATCTACCTAGAGTCTCCATGACCCCCAGACAACCTGAATTTTGGATAATGATCCCATTTTTAAAGGGGTCATGGAGACTCCAGGTAGGGAAAGCTTCCCCTCTCTTTCCAGGATCCTGCTTTTCGGGAAACCGAAGTAGAAACCCAGGGGAAACTTGAACATATTGTAAGAGGGCTTTCACTGCCCGTAAGGGGATTTGTCTATCGTCCATGCAGGGTTCTGCGGATTGCCTTTGAACAGCCCAATGCGAGTCATAATCATACATAATAAAATATCTGAACTTTCTATTTAGCACTAAAAGGGCATCCCAAAAAGTTTAAAGTCCAGGAACTCAGGAAGCGAGACGGGATTATCTCCTAGTAACCTTCACTTACCTGGGTCTCATGTGACTCAGCCGAGGTTCTTCCGCATCACCGCAGAGACGCCCTTTCCAAGGCACACCGCAGAGGCGCCGGCCATCCAAATCCAGCCGATGCCTGGCTTGGAGCCGGATCGGTGAGTTGCAGCCGGATCTGGGGCGGTGGGTGAGGATCAAAGGGATGCATCATGATGCATCTAATATCAGCTTCCCAAGAATTGTCAGCTTCCACTTGATTCGCGGCTTGGATTGGTGGGAGTTGTTCCCCAGTTCCTGTTGAAGCCAAATTGGGAAGGTAGCCCCCAACCTCCAAACCACTTGCTGAATCGGTTGGAGCCGAATCGGTTGCTGTTCCGGGCTGGTTTTCCCATGTACCCTCTACAAGAACCAAAGCTTCAAATCCAAAACAAAGCCACCAACCAAGGATTACTGGCCCATGGCTCTCACTTCCCAAGTGGACTCGCCAAAAGCAAAACAACCACCACTTCTTGTTTGCCACTAAAATGGTCCACCCCAACCCATGGCCCTTAGCCCCCCCCCCCGACCCAGTCCAGTGGCCATGGGAAAAAACGGATCGGCATCTCTTTTTTCTCCGGGTTGGTGGGGTTTAAAGGGAACCCTTTCCAAAAACCGGTGCGAAGTGGATTTCGTACTGCTCCTTTTTTGGCCAACCTCAAAAAGTTAGCTAAATAGCCAAGTTGCGATTGCTGTTTTCAGTCCTGTTGCTGGTTTTTGAGGTAAAGTGCAAAAAAAAGGCCACTGGCGATCCAGAAACAACATCCTTTTCTTTGGCTGGTTGACTTTGGGAAACCCTTCCCACAAAACAAAGAAAAGAAACAAGGGCGCCACCGGGCAACTGGGATGCCAAAGTCCGGATCCCAAAAGGTGGGCGGGCTTCGGCGGTCTTTTGCTAAGGGACCCAGCAGTTGGCCCGGAGGGCCAACAGGTCCTCTCGTAGTTCTTGGGGTTAAGGCAACGGAGAAAGGACACAGCCGGCCGGGCCCAACTACGTAGCCTGTCCATCACCCGTTGCACAAAGCGCGATGGAAGTCCTGCAAAAATATTCCTCCCGGATTTGTAACGGCCAAGTACGTCCTCGCACCTGCTGAGTTAGACGAGGTTTAGGCCTGGATCGCTCTAGAGAAACTTGGCAATGGCATGTTAACATCTTTCTCCTGTCCCCCCCCCCCCTCCCGCTGAGAATGAACGAAGCACAAAAAGCGAAGGACCAAAAACATGGACAAGCGCAGGCCAAGACGGGGGAACATAGGCTAAATCTTTCGGAAGCTTGGCTCCACTTTGAAGTCCCAGACCCCCATCGATCTGAATCAGCCAAGCTCAGTGGGCCGAGAATTCCCGCGCCTACACATCCCTCACTGTTGAAACGTGAAAGACCAACTTTGAGGCCCCACGACGGGGAGACCATTCCTAGGTCCTCCAGTAGAGAGGTTAGAGTAAGTTGGTACTCTTTATTCCCTTTGTCTATTTTAGTAGGGGAACCCTCCCAACCAAAAAAGGGGTTAAAAAGGGCACCTAGCTGGGGGACCTAGATTCTTTCTTGGCCAACAATGTGGCGGAAGTCCGTGTCAACAAGGCGACCGTAAAAACTGACCGACCGACCAAACCCATCGATCGGGACTTATCCACCGGGGTCTTGTGCGGAACGGGGGCGTTGGTCTTCGTTGGTCTTGACTTTTTGTGTCCCCGCCTACAATGGTCCCACCGTAGCGGCCGGTCCTCAAGTCGAAAGCAACGAAGATGGGGACCGGACCCAACCAGACCCGAGGTTGGCCACCGAAATTGCAACCAAAGGGACCCCGAAATGAACAGTTGCACGCGTTTGGAACCTGTTGAAACCTTTATTTCTGGTAGAAACATTTAAGTGGAACCAACATAAGGCTTTCCTTTTGGACCCACATGCGACCCCATAAGCTTTTGGAACCGAGCTTTGGGCCAATGAGTCGCTCTTCCAATAGCCCCCTGCTATCACAGAAGTGGACACCGAGCCCCCAATTTCCATACTGGGATGTTTCATGGGATGCGACGAGGGGCTTGAAAACATTGTGGGAAGAGCCCTTGCGCAAAACGCTGCAAACTCGCCCTCAAGAGCGTTGCTTTTAACCCGCCAAGGAAGGACTTTGAGTCTCACTTCCTGAGTCGATTGGCCAAGCATAACTCGAAACGTGTTGTTTGCAACCAACATGGTCTTCGCACAAAAAAGTATAAAGTCCATGAACTCAGCTAGTGAGAAGTTCCAGGGTTCAGACAATGAACGACAGCATGTCCAGGAATTCATTTCCAAGAACCGTCCCTATTGGATCTTGGGACACCAAAAGAAAGCCAACAAAATAGGTTCAGGGACACCCCTCGCTCAAAGAAACACATTTGCCTTGCAGTGAGATGTTACACAGAGAGGGTCTGAACCACAGAAGTTGCCGTCTGGGACGACCAAAAGGTTAGGCTCTTTGGAGGATCCCCTCCCCCAGAAAAAAAGAAGAAAAACAACGGCATAACACACTATGTTGAGGGCTTCCCTTTGGTTCTGAATCCTTAAACAAGAGTGATCCTTTTGCTGGCTGAAAGTGAACATTCAGACAAACAAACAGGCAAACATGTAAAGCTGGTGAAGCCGCCTTCCAAAGTTATGGTACGTAGTTATCCACATGTTGTCCTCCAAAGGGCCCGGCCAGAAAAAAACAAAACCCAAAACCCAGCCATGAAATAAGGAACCCCTCCAAAAGTATGATTTCTCGCTAAATCCAGGGACACCCCCTATTAATAAACTGGGGTTAATTAATATGGCGTCAACATTAGGACTTAACATATGCTCTTGGTTCATGATTTTAGTTGGGGGCAAAGATGTAAGATGTTCCCAAATGTTGATCCAGCAAAGGGTGGCCTCAAAGAAAACACACACACACACATACTCACCGCTCATGGGCCTAAGTCCACTGGCAAAATGATATTTCCAGTAGTGATAGATTCCAAGAAGTATAAAGTCCAGGAACTCAGCTAGTGAGAAGTTCCCGGGTTCAGACAATGAACGACAGCATGTCCAGGAATTCAGTTCCAAGAACCGCCCCTATTGGATCTTGGGACACCAAAAGAAAGCCAACAAGATAGGTTCGAGGACCCTCGTTCAGAGAAACACATTCCCCTTGCAGTCAGATGTTACACAGAGGGGGTCTGAACCACAGAAGTTGCCGCCTGGGATGACAAAAAGGTTAGGCTCTTTGGAGGATCCCCTCCCTCCCGAAAGAAAAACGGCATAACACACATGTTCACGGCTTCCCTTTGGTTCTGAATCCTTCAAGAGTGATCCTTTTGCTGGCTGAAAGTGAACATTCAGACAGACAAACAGGCAGACATGTAAAACGGGGGGGGGGGGGGAAAAATATCCAAAGTTATGGTGCGTAGTTCCCCACATGTTGTCCCCCAAAAGGGACCGGCCAGAAAAAAAAAAGAACCCAGAACCCAGCGTTGAAGTAAGGAAATCTCCTGGCAATGACCTGCGTGAACTCCTAGCCCTAACCCTTGAGACGGTTTCCTGTTGCTTCTTTGCTTTGCTTGACCCCACGAAATTGGTCACTGTTCATTCAAACCTAGGACTTGACATATGCTCTTTGTTCATGATGTTAGCTGGGGGCAAAGATGTAAGATGTTCCCAAATGTTGACCCAGCAAAGGGTGGCCTCAAAGAAAAATACACACACACACACACAGACCCCTTCCACGCGCTTAAGTCCACTGGCAAAGCGATATTTCCAGTAGTGATGGATTCCCGCTAAAGAATAACAGGGGAAACTCAAACTCACATTCCTTTCAGCAAGTGGAAGCCATGGCCTTTTAAACCATCCAACTGGTGATTCTTTTTCGGGGGCCAAGGCCTGGGGTCATTCCATTTCACCTTCCTTTCAGCAAATGAGCTTTGGCTTTTACCTACAAACTTGATCGGACATTATTCAAGTTTCCGCGGACCCTTCCGCATCCATTCAGATGGCAGGCTGGGGTAAAAAAAAACTCCAAGCCGTCCCTGGCCCGCGACCGAGGCGACCGAGGCGCTGCGCCCCGTGCAAGCCCACCATCAGCCCGCAGCTGATGCCCAGCATGCCGCTCAGAGCGCTGGCCCGGCCCAGGCCGCGCCGGGCCTTCCCCGAGAAGTTGCCGAAGATGTGCCTCGAGGAAGCGGGGCGCTGGGCGTTGCCTTTGAGCTGCGTTGTTGCGACGGACCCAGGGAGTCCAACTCAAAGGAAACCACCAGTTGGATGCTTTAAACCACCAGTTGGATGGTTTAAACTGCCAGTCGGATGGTTTAAACCACCAGTTGGATGGTTTAAACTGCCAGTCGGATGGCTTAAACTACCATTTGGATGGTTTAAACTGCCAGTTGGAGGGTGTAGGGTCATTCCAGACTCTCGTTCCCCACGGAGCACCGGCAAGTTTGTTGGAACCAGCAGAAGATTCTACAGGAAGTCAACCAAATCCCCATCAGACTCCCGGTCCGTTTGGCCCAAGAGGGAATGGTGCACATCTCTGCATGGAACAAACCAACAAAATCTTTGGACTTTTGGCTGGCTCGTGGCTGGGCAACAACTTCATGAAGGAACCGAGCAACTCACTTGCTGAGTGGATGGCCCAAAAAACGTTCAAACTTTGCGTTTACAACTAAAATAGTCTTCCCAAAAAGTTTAAAGTTCATGAACTCAGGAAGTGAGGCAAATTGCACGGGTGACTGGATTTCCCCAGTTTCCATTGAAACGATCGCCGCTTTTGGCGGTTTTAGAAGTGGCCACTGACTCCTGAGGTTTGTTTCCTGCTGGCTTCCCCTTGGGCCAAGAAGGAAGCCCCGGTTTTGAGAAACACACACATCAGCGCCGCTTTTAGGGACCCCCCCTGCAAATAGTGCTTCTTTAGGTGTTCCTTTGAAGCCACACAAGGTGGGTACCCTCAAATAATAAGCCATCATGTTTCACGAGGATCCTTGGTTGAAAGTAGTGCAGGGAACACATTGCAGCTGGAAAACATGGTCAAACTTACCCCTTAAAACTCCAAGCCCTGGGGAAGTTAATCTTTTACAGACATATAGCCCATGTTACCCAAAAAGTTGAACAGTTGTGTTTCTAAGAGGTAAGCAAAGCTAGGGCCAAGCGAGATCAGGGCGGCAGATTTTGCAGGGACTTGTCCATCCCTTTTCGCATGCGGGCTTTTTCTGTTGACGTGATTTAGACACGCTTCAGATGGGAAAATCACATCTCCGAGTGCAAAAAGACGTGTGAAATAACTCAGTACCCCCTGTGCCACTGCCACTTGACATCCAAAACGGAAATCGAGGGACCCCCCTGCAATTCCAGGAGACTCGGGACGGACTGTGCCCAGGGCGCAAGAAGGAAAGGGCCAAGCAAGTAGTGTTGCAGATGATGTGCAGGTGCATG